TTAAATCAACACTAGTCGACTGTTGTTTTAAATGCTTAAATCATAGACATAACACGAAAGGGATTTTAACGAAAAAACATACAGAAGCTTTAAGAAAACTTAAAAATAATGACAATTTATTAATCAAGAAACCGGACAAAGGACATGGGATAGTACTCATGGATAAAAATAACTACATAAACAAAATGAAAGCCCTTCTAAATGATAAAAGCAAATTTCAGAAACTGGCTGTGAAAAACGACGTAGAAGACAAGATCGAAAAGCAATTAACAGATTCACTGAAAGAAATTAAACAACAAGGTTTCATTTCAGAAAATTGGTTCGAAATGTTGAAACCTACAGGAACGATGACACCAAGACTATATGGCCTACCAAAAATACACAAAAGTGGCTTACCCCTTCGACCAGTTTTAGATATGAATAACTCAGCGTATCATACTATAGCAAAATGGTTGGTGCAAATTCTTAAAGCATTACACAAAGAAGTTGTCAAGCATAGTGTCAAGGATGCCTTTGAATTTGTTGAGAACATAAAAAATCTATCAGTCAAGAATAATTTCATGATATCACTTGATGTATCATCCTTATTCACTAACATTCCACTACTTGAAACGGTTGATTTTATTTGCGATGAACTAACAGTGAGGTGCATAGAAACTCCAAGTCCTGCATCCGTGATAAACAGGTAATTCTTAGATGCGCAATGAATGTCCAATTCAGATTTGACAACGAGTACTATAGACAGCTAGATGGATTTGCCATGGGATCACCATTGGGCCCTCTACTGGCTGATATTTTCCTAGAGAAACTGGAAAATGGACCACTTAAAAGCATAATTAGCCATTTACCAACTTATTATCGCCACATAGACGATACTTTCATAATATAAGAAAAAGAAAATGATAAGGACAATTTACTTAATCTATTTAATAACGTTCATCCATCAATTAATTTTACATCAAAAGATGAACAGAACAATAGCACATCATTTCTAGATGTCCAACTAACTAGAAGAGCAGACGGAACTTTAAAAGAGGGGTACACAGAAAGTCAGCAACAGGACAATACACTCATTTCTATAGTGCAGTTGCAATCAGATACAAAAAGAACTTGATAAAGATCTTGACTCATCGTGCCAGAATGATTTGTTCGGAAGACACCATTGAAGATGAATTCGTTAATATTCCGCACTTACTAAGTTTGAATAGGCACCCTATGAAATTCATTGACAACCACATGGTGAGTTCGATAAGATTAAACATTTAGGAAAATATTAGTGAGAAAATGTCAAAATATATCGTCGGAATTCATACATTTGAAAAAATCATTTGAAGATCTTATGCTTGATTTCATTTTGATGAAATATTTCGGGTAAATAAATAACTAGAAATTGCCAGATAGCACTTGTATCACATCGTTGCTGATATTCTCGATCTGCTTTGACCATCATTCTAAGCACTTTGTTTAGTGTGTGTGGGTGACTCGATATGTATATATTGATCAAGGATGTAGGAGTATTTATAGACAATTTTCTACGTAAGATACCAAATGGTCGTTGGTCGGGTACCATCAGCAACAGCCTACCATGAGAGAGAACAAATGAGGTCGCACGTGAGTGGAAATAGAGGGAAAGACATTGGAAGTGGATAGGAGACACACTGAGGAAATCACCAAACTGCACCAGGAAACAAGCATCAACTTCGAATCATGAAGGGAACCGAAAAAGACGAAGGCCAAAGTACACAGTGTGCTAAAAATTGGTAGCAGACATCAAAAGGATGAATAATAACTAGAAAAAGGAATGTCTTGGACAGAGGTGGACGGAGAATGCTGATGAACGGTCTGTGCTCCTTCACGAGGAGTAACAGCAGTGAATAAGTAAGTATGTCAGATGCTAGAAGTGAGACGAGTTTTACGTAGAACCACAAACAAAACATATCCAGCAAAATCATTACAACTTTATCTGGTAAAAACATAAGTATGAAATTATATATACATTGAAATTACTGAGAATGTATGAGAATCTTCAGGCCTCAAAGAGTTCCTGCTATTAATGAATGGTTCCAATTGCTTCATTGAAATGTTCAGTTATAAGTTGATTGATTTGACTGTGTATTAGTTGAACAATTTGATATAATCAAAGTTAGACTGCTTTTAGTAGACACATAGAACCTGAAAGACTACCGAAAACGAGTGGATGATTCAGTAATCCGACTCATCAGAGTATGTTTGATGATTCTTAGTTCAAATTCACTTGTCTAAAGTAGGCTTACTTACAATTAAAATTTGAATGATAAATATCTAAAACTCGGATTTATGCTTATTGGCCTGATCTCTCCATTAGTCAATGAATCATCCCAAATTATGTTAAACATTATTTCGAAGGCATCTGACATCAAATACTGAAAACCTATGAATATGTTATATTATGGAGAACTATGTTGAAGATTACAAACAATAAATGTAATACTGCCTATATTATTATTATTATCAGAATGGGTTTTGTGGAGATTTTAGAAATTTCACAGGTTGAAATCAGAGTCAATTGAAGCTAGACCACCATGGAAAACCTGGAAGCACTGGATGGCCGTTTCGTCCTGGTATGGGACTCCTCAGCAGTGCGCATCCACGATCCCGCACCCCACGGGATTCGAACCCAGAACCTACTGATTTCTCACGCGAGCACTTAACCAGTAGGCCAGGCCTGTTGCGAGATAGGAACTCACTGAAGACAATGGTGTACGGTAGCGCAACTTCGTGGATTGGTTGAGGTTAGGCATTAACACCGTTGGATGCCGGCTCAGTGGTCTATTGGTGAAGTGCTCACGCGAGAAATCAGTAGGTCCTGCATTCGAATCCCGCGGGGTTCAGGATCGTGGATGCGCACTGCTGAGGAGTCCCATACCAGGACGAAACGGCCGTCCAGTGCTTCTAGGTTTTCCATGGCGGTCTAGCTTCAATTGACTCATGATTTTAACCTGTGATATTTTATTATTATTATTATTATTAGTCACCATATTCAGTAATCAATCAAATTGTTGAAATTACCTACATCATGTCATTAATAACTAATAACCTTTAATTGAATAACTTATAAGTAATAAAAAGTATTGATTAATAGGTTTTAATTAAATATTCATTTATTTAATGTTATTAAAAATCGATACAAAATTTGATATCCATCCAAAAGGGTAACGATTAAAAGGGTGAGCATGAAAAAAAAAGAAACGGCGAATATTGAAAAAGATAATTGAGTATCGAAAGGGATGAAATATGTTCATTTTACTCTCTATTTTGGAAGATCTTCCTAAAAAGAACAATGTTGTAGAAAGGTGATATTGTAATAAACGAGAACATTGGCGAGGACAACTAAAACAGAAAATGTATTTCAACACATAACTACAGAAACTATTAGTAAGTTATAAGAAACAAACAGTAAATGCTTCATTTGCAAAATGTCAATCAATTGTCTTGGACTTGATTATTCCTTCGTTTCCACATCAATCATTCTCTGTTCCTATTCTCTTTTCGGAGATCTTCTTAACCTTTTGCCGCCAGCCATTTCACTCTCGATTGATGGTACATATTACTTACATCTGTCAACATCAGTAGTACATAACACTCTATAGAGATATTACTCAACTTATTGGCACTCTCCATGCAAATATATTACAACTTACTGATGCTCTGAAAAAGAGAAAGAGTCTGAATAGATTGAGAATAAAAGAGTCTGCTGCAGAAATCCAACAACAAAAAAACTTAAAAAGAAAATATAAGGAAGTAGCAGTACGTATCAAACTGGTTGTAGATTATTATGAAAGTAAATCAACAGTAGACTATCTACGTGGAATAACACATAACTTTTTGATTTTATAAGAAAGTCATATTTTGAGTATTTCAAATTGATTCAAACTAAAATTTACCAAACATTTCTTAAGCATTTTCGAAACATCCCTCTAAATAGACTATCCGTTAGTTGTTTGAAATAGACATACGAGATAACATGACTGCAGCAGCAATTTGAAAGACTCTCTCAGTCTCCCACATTGTGCGAGTATTCCATGTACCTAAATAAATGGTTGCTCTGGATGTCAGAAGGTGCATCAGCCTCGTGACTTCTGAAGGAACTCGGCTTTCATCATGAGGTGTCATAAATCTTCTAAATGAAGACCTTCTAACTCTCAGGGCAGGGTTTAAATGAGATTATAATCAAATAACTATTCAAAATTTCTTTAGTGAAGATCTTTTAACACAACGCCTGACTATAAAACGCAAAGTATTTTCACAGTTAGATTCATGAGTCGATCTATGCTAGGCCACCATTTAAAAACTCAGAAGTAATGGACAACCGTTTCATTATTATTATTATTATCATCAGCTTTATTCGATATTATATTTTTGGCACTATAGAATTCTGAGCGCAAAGTATTTCAACAAGATTCCGTTTCTTTCTTCTTGGTCGGTCCTGGCGATAAATATTGAGTGATCGGCAGTTAGATGTTCAGTAGATGAACATCTGAATAATGTGCATTCTTTTCATTGTACATTGCCAGCAACCACATTGTCTCTCATTGAGTTTTTTGTAACTTTTTTGTACACTTTTCAGAAACGCATCAGGATAGGTTATGCGATTAATAAACATAATGATATATTAAAACAAACGAAAATAGATAACTTGTTGAAATATCTAGATAGCAGGAACAGGTAGCCCAAATGCTCAAGCAGGCCGCCCTTTATCCTAGTATATGACTCCTCAACAGTGTACATCCACGATCCTGCACACAAGAATGGAGTCCAGAACCTTCAGTCTCATGATTGAAGTTTAACCTTTAGACCACTAAACCCGAGCAACTCTTCATCTATTCCTTGAAGTAGATAACTATCTCACATTCCCACTGGTTATGGTTTCTCATTAGAACTTCAGGAATATTATCACCACCACCACCGCCACCACCAACAACAACAAAAAATGTATAGGAATACAAGACAATATGAGATGGTTTGTACAAGTCAAAAAGTTTATTTTTTTTCTTCAAATTAAGTATACAAACTAAAATACAAATACTTAACTAAATGAAACATTCCCTTTTAATGATAATAATGTTTTGTTTTGTTTTGTTTTAATGACTACATTCCATTTACAAAATGTTCAAATAAACTTATCCTAACAATCATATTTCTTTAGTTAAATACTAAAAAAACTCATATATAGAACAAAGTTCTGCTTTGCTTATTTATTAAATAAAAGTAAAAAGAAAGAGAAAAACAGAGAGGAAAAGAAAAGAAGAGAAAACAAAATACCAAAAAACACAACAATAATGAGCATGAAAGAAAGAAAGAAAAACGGACGGAAAACTATTCCATTCATTTTAATAATGATAATTTTTCTTTCTTTCTTTCTTTCTTTTCCCTCCCTCTCTCTCTCTCTCTTTCTGTCTGTGGTATTTTTAAATGATAAAGGTTGGACCTCTATGAAAAATTTATCATCGAAGAGGAATTATGAGTTTGTGAATGTACATGTTGAATGAAGAAAAAAAAGAAAAGAAAACAGTGAACAACAAAATTCAACAATGTAAATGCGTTGACTTTAGAAATAAATAGTTTAAATGGGGTTTAAAATGTTTGTTTTTTTTTTCTATGGAAATGCATTTTTCATTTTGGATAATGTCATACTATTTACTTGATGACTGTGTGTGTGCGTGTGCATAGGTGGGTGGGTGCGTGGGTTAATTTTCTTTTTTATTCATTCTGTCCCATCTCTTCATCATCTTTTATAATGTCAATTTCTAGTTCTGGTACACGATGACCTAAAATATCTTTTAATGTGAATTCTTTGCCAAGTTCTTTAATTTTAGGATTTGTGTAGAATTCATCATTTTGAATAGTACTATTATCTTCTTCTTCTTCTTCTTCATGTTCCAAATCTATATTACGGAATGATTCATCATGTTGAATATCACCGCTATCATCATTATCATTATCATCATAGTATTCGTTATTATCTTTTTTTAATCTGTTACTTACATTAGAATTATCATCATTCTCCGAAATTTGACTACCAGATTGAATAGGACTGTTGTTTGAATCAATGTTGAAATTATTCAGTTTATGATACAATCCGAACTGTAGGGATTGAAAACATAACATAAATGAATTTGTTATCTTTGATATTACAAAAGTGGACAGTTAGTAAAAGAGTTTAGATAGCTAATCAACAGTTCTTAGTCATTCAGTTGTGTCTAGATACAAAAACAATAAGTTACCTGATTTTACAACTTCAATGTGTATCAACTAATTTAGGTAGTCTTTTGAAAAAATGCTACATCAGGCAGCCTAACTGAGTGTCTTCCAATCTCATCTGAAAAAAACTTAATAAAAACAATATCTTGCTCCATTTCGTCACGCGTGGTCAACAATGCTCATGAGCTCTATAAATCTACATCATTTAAAATGATGTAAAGTATGCCATTTTTGTGTCTGAACTTTCGTTTATCCAAAAAAGTATTACTTATTTATTAGAACAAAATGTGATAAGAATCTAACTCATAACAATTCTGTACACTGATATATAATTGAAGGCAGATATCGAAAGAATGAATCACAATCGGAAACAACTGGAAAGAATAGCTCAAGATAGACGTGGACAGAAATTTCTGGTTGACAACCTCAGAAGTGGATGTCAATAAGTTTATTACTAACAATTCTTTTAGTAAACGCTTAATAGTCTGTAGTTTCCACTTATTTTCTCTTCAAAAGACGATGAAGTCAGATAATAAGACAACCAGTCAACTTAACACCAAATTTTGTCACAACTTTCATGGATGCTGTGATCAGTGATAGCCGAAAAAGGATAAGTGTTTCATTAAATATAAAAGAAACTGTTATCGGATGGAATAAGATTGACAATGAGTCATATATTGTTTTTTTAAAACGTTTATAATCTCATTATAAGGTGAGATGGTAGTGGCTAACAGTGGAATCCAGAACACATGTTTCGTCCTATTTGAAACGCGTCAGCTGGGTCCAATCGCTAAGTGGATAACGTGATGGCGTTTGAAGCGAACGGTGCTAAGTTCAAGTCTCAATGTAAACGTCTACTTTGGGATTCGGGTACACCCAGATGACCAGTCCCAAATAGGATGAAACACTCGTCCTGGATTCTCCTGCTAGTCACCATCCATCTCCACTTATAATTCTTGGGACTTCAGGCAATATCGAGGCAATCCTCACAGTATGCACATATGCTAATAAGTGACTGATCAATTGCAGTCCTTAACATCAGTGAGAAGATTCAAGTAACTAATACAAAAATGAGTTTATGCTTTCAGTTAGTATAGTGACTGAACAAGTTATGCATATATAAGCAAAATATAGATTCATTATTCATTAAACTACGTACACTAAGATTAGGAGCTTAATACTTGTTGAACAAATACTTAGTCAAGATTTCCGTGATATAGAAAGCCACTATTAATTTATAGAATTCGTTCATCTTGTATTGATTACTTGAATCCTTCAATTGATTTTTAGGATTGCAATTGATCAGTCTAATTTTAATAAATGTACATTTTGTGTGGTTTGTTTCGATAAAGTCATTATTTCACAAGCATTTTTGGACAGACATGGTCAAATAAAGTCTTGAATATCAATGGTAAGATTTAAACAAGCAATACTAAATGAACTCCACTTCATCCTATCGCACATGTTGGTGGCTATCTGGACTCAGTAGCTAAATGGATAACGCAGTGACGTTTGAAGCGAACCTTACTAGGTTTGAGTACATTCATCTGACGAGTCCTAAATGCGTCTTAAATTCCACAGCAAAAAATCATTCATCTTGCATATAGATGATAATTAGTATTTATTATTTTAAGAGAAAATTAGAAAGATGATTAAAACAGTAAAAAACGAACGAGAAATTAGAAATCTCAGCATTTTTTTTCCTCAAAACTAACTTTACGCTTGAATTGATAAACTGTTAAAACCTCTCGTTTAGTTCATTTGAAGTTTATTGCCTCAACAATGTAGAGAAAATTCGGAAAGCGATTCCGCAGAGATTTATGTCACCTTAGTCAATGATATTGAAGAATCAGACATTGAAATATTTTCGCTTTCCGATTTTGATAACTAACTAAGGTGTTGTTTAGAAAAGAGCACCCTTTATGCCTCTGAATTTGTTAGGACCCGTGAAACATAATGAATGGTAATTTTACGATCCTTTTATGGACCAATACTAAACGTATAACTTTATCGTATAATTGTTAAATAACTAAACTATTCATATTCATGTTCCTCTTATTATAAGCTTTACTTTCACCCATAAACTATTATTATATGTTTTAGCATTTTTGAGTTATACCCAGTATATTAATTACTACCTCCCTCATTCACAGCCATATCTGGCTAATTCTTGTACAAATGTTGTTTCATATTTTATTGATACGTTGTGGTCTGTTTGATTGGTATATAAACTCAGTATGTTTGAAATATAAGGATTCATATCGCAGAGGCTGAGACCTGTGTTCTGGACTTAACTGGCTGGGCTAGGCAGGAAGCAGGGTCAATCAAGACTCTAGGCTGCTCACACATGTTTTATACGTCATCGATCCGATCGATAAGCTGCTGCTCTCTAATCGGCGGTCACAAGTTATAACAGAAGTAATCTACTCTATTACGATAATAACATTGATAGGTACTTCATAAAGAGACAGTCAATCTTGTTATTTAACTTACATCTAAACTACGCTGTTGAACCAAACGATATGAAATTCGTTCTGCAGCAGTACGATCTACAACAGACGATCGTGATTCATGATTTTTACTCATATTTGTATCTTCATCTAATTCACCAGGTCTACAAACTCCATGTTCATCACGAATAAATGCACGTTTCTTTTCGGATTTTCCAGATTTTTCAGATTCAATTCGATCATTTTCATCTTCTTCGTCAACTGATTCATTGGTTTGATGTTTTGTATCTAAACTGCTACTTCTCTGAACTGATGAATATATTCATAAAAAGTAATATCACGTAAATACGCTTTAGATAAATAAAACTATATCATAAAAATTATGAATATTGTGGAATTTAACTGAGAAATCCTATTTATTACAACAATTAACCAGTGAACAAACACATGATTAGAGTAAGCCAATTGACTGCATTGTACAAAATTACACACTACATTTGTAAAATATGTAAGCAATACATTGAATTTGTTTTTTATTTATTCGAACACATAAATACTGGCACAAGGGGGCACCAGTTACATATGTGCCATAGAAGTCTCATTTGATATGTGTGAGGGCTGTGATACTGTACGGGTGCCCAAACCGAAACAGGTGGTTTTCTTAGAGGGCCACACCAGGAACCTTCGACCTAGAAGTCTGACTCACAAGGCACTGTAGCAACGTCAGGAGATGCAGTCCCATGGTAGCCGGTGACCAACGACTGGTTCATATGCTATTTGTTCCCTCAGGATACTGGAACCCATGTTCACCATTGGTTTGGAATCAGGGTTCTCCAACTCCCTTAGAGGTGAACTCTCCATGTGCACCAACTTGGTTAAAGCGCCCGACATTCTCTTTTCGTCCTCTCAATTTCGTAAACAACACCCCCGCCATGAGAAGGCGATGAGTAGGACTTCCCTGACAGAGGCTATATACGCATGGCCGTGTGCGAGCATTTCAAGAGGGAGAGCGGACACTCTACACTCTCGGCCGTACCAGGGCATTTGGGGTACAACTTCCTTGAATAGTCTCTTCCGAGCTTCATCATTCTTAAACTCCAGTTGCTAATTTGACTATTTTCGTCTTTTTTCTTCTGTTCTCAATTTTTTTCTGCTGCAGGTAAGAATCCTACTCCTAATATATACTACTTATATCTGCCCATATAAACAGCACACACCATAGAGGTGTTTGAGAAAAATTGAGAAATATCATATTTCAATTGATGTATGATGTAGATTTGTTTCATTTGCACTTCCATCATTAAAACTATCTCAGATAGCTATCAAAGAATTGATTCTTTATCGACATTATAGTCTTCTCAAAGATCATTTCTAATGCAGTATACAGAATGTTATCATTTCACGAGCTTCTAGTAAACGGTGGGGGGACGTTTAAGTACCATGCGACTATTTATTTATTTACTGATTATGATATTCAAAACTTGAATTCTTCTGATAATTTTTTAACACAACTTCATTTTTATAGACTTAAACACTTGGTAATTCAATACATTTCACTGTATTTGATAACTTTGTTTATTGATGCAACATTCACCTATTTTCATTTATATACAAAGATTGTTTGAGTCTTTCCACTGTTGATGTTGATAACTGTTGATGATTAGTCTTATTTTAACATATATCCATCCTGTGTAGATTGCCTTGATTTTACCACTAGGTAACAAGCATTTATAAACACATATGAATAGTGTTGAGTAACAGAATGCAGGACGCGTATTTTGTCCTCTCTCGGAACTCATTAGCTGGTTATACCCGTATTTCAGAGTTGGAATTCGTCCTAGAACTAAAACTTCATTGAAAAAAAAACCAGGAGCTATACTGAATTACTAGTTAGTTGGATAACGTGATAACGTTAGAAGCGAACAATTAAAGATTCAAATTCCAAAGTGAATATCAACTCTGGAATTCAAGTACATTGAGTTAATAAATCTCAAAGAGAACAAAACTCACTCCATGAATTCCATTCCTAACTACTAATCATTCCTGCCTAAAACGTTTACTTAATAATTCCCACCACTAATAAATGAACTGATTTACTAATGTAAATCAGTTCATTTATTTGGTAAACTAATCATTCGTTTTATTTCATTGATAGCATTATGATTAATTTACCAACAGTTTGTTGTGTAAATGTTACGCTTCCTTTATTTCCACAGTCATGTTACTTATATTAAAAAAAAACAGGAATGTCTGTAATCCCAACAATGTTAAAGGAAAACATGAAGACTAGTCAAAAAGGAGAATTTCTAACTCTTTATCAAAACAAGCCTCTCTAATATGTCATCATCATTTACATACTGATTTTTATACATACCTAAGAATCTCATGTGTAACAAAAAATATATATACAGTTACTGTAAGAACATATTGAATGTAGTTCATCTGAATCGATACAAAGGATATAAATATCATTCTGAATAAACATTCGAATAAATCATATTCAACGAAGTTCATAGTGAATTGATAAAAGAATATTGATATCAAGAGTCAACTGAAGTTTGACCACTATGGAAAACCTGGAAGCACTGGACGGTCGTTTCGTCCTACTATAAGACTCCTCAGCAGTGCGCATTCATGATCCCGACCCCGTGGGATTTGAACTCGGAACCTATCGGTCCACAAAACCCCTTCTGGTAAAAAAAATATTGATCTAAAATAGGATTACCATTTAACTTTATCATATAACAGGCACAGACTAATGGGGGGTTAAGGCTCAAATTACATTTTAAATATGTGAAGAAGTAATACTAACCAGTTACCTAAATGAAATTAGATAGAAATTGATATTTCAGAATACTTCTTAAACTATGTATTAGATGAAAAAAAATTTTTTAATTTTATGCAATTAATTATTGATAGTTTAGTATCTATGCTACTAATGTGTTTCCAAGTTAAATTCGGATATGTGGATAAATTAATCACAAATGATATACATATAAAGATAATAAGCACTAGACAACAGATACTGAAGTGAATGAGAACACAAGTAAAGATAAGCAAATGAATTTGAACATAAAATGACAGTAAAATTTGTGAACTATATAGTATATACTTCCTTTATAAAATGTTAATCAATTATCTCAGACTTGATTGTTCCTTTGTTTCCACACCAATTATTCTCTGTTCTCGTTCTCTTTTCTTCAATCTTGACCTTGTGGCATCAGGCATTTCACTTTCAATTGATGATACATACTACTTATATCTATCGATATTAGTAGTACACATCATAATACCTCTTATCAATTATCAATACCATTTAAAATACTGGAGAAACTTTCTTAAAACAAATTTTGATCAACTGTTCTTAAATAAGTTACTTGCTTAGATCATACAAAAAGAGTCATATACTATCAAATAGCCCATTGTATCGGAAAGCAAATGTAAAAAACACTAAAAAAAGTTTGTAAGTTATGCTTATCGTAAATGATAAATAAGAAAAGAGAAAATATTCAGATTTATGTAAGATTGATTGACATAATACAACATGACGACCAGTACCCATAACAGTATAAGAAGAACTAAAAATATGGTATGTAAAATAAGATTGAAAATAGGATATGAAAATTCTTGAAATAAGAAGGACAATAAGAGTATACAACGAGTAGATATATCTGTGGGATTGCCAATAATTCACAAAACCTTGAAACTAGTGCTAACTATAAACCAATTTATTACAACTACATAGATTAGGTCAAACACAACTCTCAATCAATTTGTAAATCGATGCTACAGCTTGGTTCGACCACTAACAACTATCCACCAGTTCACTACAACTCAACATTACATCACATATCGAGATGGTTGGCGACTACACATATGTAACATATGTTTCAACAACCTCACATGATCGACATTCACTAACTCATCAAACGATTCACCATTCTACACAGTATCTGTTTCTAACCTCGACATCGTTCACTCGACCATCCCAACATACGTGAGCATTACTTCGAAAGCATCTGGCATCAAATACTAACAACTCACGAATATGTTGTATTATGGAAGACCATGTTTCAGTCACAGTGGTAAATAAGATTAGATCGAACTCGAACTGTTTAGTACTACACTTGTCTATTGATTAACGAATTGACAAATTTTAAAGGTCATAATTGGCTTAAGTTAATCAAACACAAGTGGGTTTTTGAAGCTTATTCTAAATTACTACTGATACTTAATCACTTCGGTTAACTTGGTATTCAAGATGAGTGGAGTAGTTGACACGGTCAACTGTTTTACTTTTGATTATGATTCTAGGCGTTGATGTAGACAATTCCTGTAGTTCTATTTTAAATTTTACACGGCGAGAAACGCATTTCAATTATTTTTTGATTGTTATTCAAGGTAACCAGAAGATTGAAGCTCATTACATCTACAGTCTAATTAAGCGAGTTTGTCGTTAACTTTCAGAACTTCAATTTTTAATGTTAGAGAAGGAACAGTCATTACCGGAATTGAATATAGCTAGTCTAATGATCCATTGTATTTTATTTTTTTAAATATACCAATCAACATTATAAACTACCAACTATATGTTAAATCTTGACTGATAAATTTCAAGTTATTTGGGAATAAACTCCAGTAGATAGTTTTATAGTCACCATTCTAAAAAATCCAATAATGATCATTTACACATTTAAATTATAACTAAATGAAATCGAAGACAATCGTTTCTTCATTCACCAGTTAGATGTACCTGCATCCTATAGAATGTATCAGTTTCTTAGAGATTGCAATTATGACTTTTTGATGAATACTAATTAGCGCATAGCATCTACATTAAATAAGATTTACTAAAGACAGATTTCAATCATATAACATTTAAACTTAATGCATTCGGTACCATATCACTTAGACTAATAGTAACCAGATTGATCAGTATTAAAAGATTATCCAAGCATAATAGTAGTTAGGGTAATTGATCAATTTTTCAAGAATTATAAAAGATTAGAAATCAATATATCGATGAATGATTTAAAGTATACTACATAATCATATTTACTAGATTACACATACTTTCAATACTTAAACAATGACAAATGTTCCACTGGAAACAAATTACATAACATTTAAAATACAAAAAAAAAACTCCCCTAAAATTACCATCAAACTACATTGAAAAAAACAAAAAAAAATGAACTAAAAATTTCTTTCTGATAAAAACGAATGGATTCCTTCTAGTTTGTTCTTAATGTTGAAAAAAAGGCAATTAAAAATCATTTATCAATCAATAAAATGAGTTTTTATTGTAA